TGTTAACAATATTTGCAATACAGCCTTATATATTTGCACAATATGTTTATTAAACTTTCTCATATGAATTTTTGGAAGCCGGTCTCTTTCTGACATTTGTATGTGAGTTACTTTGCTGATTATTTGAATGATGTAGTTTTGCACTTCAGTGATTTCAATTTTCAAGGAATTCTGCTCTAATATCATTTGATTTATTTTCATCAATGACAGAATCTGAATCTGTGCAATTGTTTATGTCACAGCTAGATTCTTCCATTTTATTTCCAGAGAGATAATTATTTCATATCACATTTATTTTAGTTTGTATCTCATCATCTGTCATATTATCTATTTCCACTCTTGTCTCGTTTTAGTTTGGGTTATGACTGATTGTACTTTGTCTTATATTTAATCTTATCTTATCTATTTCTGTATTTGAAAGAATTCTTCTTCTTCTTATTATTATTATTATCATCATCATCTTCTATTTTGATGCCTGTAATCCCAAATAACTTTGTTTCTGATGGACAGCCATGTACAGGGAGCTAATACATAAAAGAAAAAGTCATTCATGTTAAAACTGATTAAAGGAGACTTATTTGACAATGTCCTGTTGAACAAGATTTTGTTTTGTGATTTTGAAACATTCATGTTCTTGTGAATTTTTGACAAGTATTTCCGCTGTCTTAATTTCAATTGCATTACATTTCAAATACTCAAACATTTATTCTTTATATATCATCTTGGTTGTTTAAGAATGTCTGTGTCTAGGGATATTACAAATCAATGCAATAAATAGCAAATGAAAGTAAGATGAAAGAAATATTAGTCACTAGCAGCATGGCCCGTCGTTGCCCGTGCTTGATACAGCAATCTCTATCACTTGACTTAAAATATTTTTGCCCTTCCTTGCCTTTAAAGGAGTTCCCTTTGCCATGCTGATGTTGCTACATGCCTTACTTCTTGCCTATCTCACACTGCAAATTTTTTCTAAGCTCTATACTAAACATTAAATCTGTTACGAAAAAGATATAAACAAAATGAACACAAAACAATCAGATTTAAAAAAGGACTTGTAACTGGAAAAAGCGAATGAAAAAAGAATGTTATCAACAAATATTTTTTCACACCCAACCCAGTTCTGCGGAATCAGAATCAACGTTGAGTTTAAGCAAGCGAATGAGCCAATTGGAGTAAAGTGCCATGCAGATTTAAATTTTTCACACTTGTGACGAATGCAGCTATTGATTTTTTTTGCATGCTAGCATGCTAGTTAACATTCATGTCAGTCAGCTGTTGGCTCTCACGCTGGCCAATAGAATCTTCCTGCCTATTCGTGGGCAGCCAGCTATAGGCTCTCACTCTGGGCAGTAGAAAATGGCTGCAAACTACATGAAAACTGCTGTAGAAGCATGAAAAATAGATTATATCCACTATTGATGGGAGTTGGGAAATGCAAAGTCAGTCTTGGCCATTCCGCTAACTTGGAGCATGTGCATGTAAATTTTGGTGCAAATCCATCAAAAATTGCGGCCGTGCATTCATTACACACACACATCCTGCCTTTAGAGATATATCATCTTGGTTGTTTAAGAATGTCTTTGTCTAGGGACATTACAAATCAATGCAATAAATGGCAAATGAAAGTAAGATGAAAGAAATATTAGTCACTAGCAGCATGACCCAGCATTGCCCATGCTTGATTCCAAAAATTGATTATTTCCACTATCAATGGGAATTGGGAAATGCAAAGTCAGTCTTGGCCTTCCCGCTAAATGTGCATGTAAATTTTGGTACAAATCCGTTGAAAATTGCAGCCGTGAATTCGTTACACACACACATACACACACACACACACATATCCTGCCTTTTATAGATAGAGATGTATAAAAAACATCGGTTATCTTCCTTTGGTAGATAACACCTGCTGATAGTAAGATTAGTCTATTATGATCTGATGATAATGGGTATGACTCCAAATCTTTTGTGAAATAGAATTCAGGCACCAATTTGAGAGGCCCCAAGAATTTGAATGGGACAGTATATATTTTTGTTCATTCCAAGAACTGGAGATGTTAGCTATGAACAAAACCTGAATAATACCTGGAAAGCAGTTATCGGAAGAAAATATGAACTATACAGATAAATGTTTCAATCAATTTCATACAGACACATGTATCTGGATATTGTTCCCTACGTTATGAATTTTAACTGCTAAAAGAATATTTTTAGCAATCCTCTATTCTTTTCTCATTGTGAAATGTATTTCTTATATAAAGTATATTTTTTACAATGTTCAATTGTCTCATATCTTTTTATGAAGCCATGACTTAGTTTGGGGAGTTGTTAAATTTGCCACACATGAATTAATAATGATTAGCAATACTTTGTCTAATACTCGAGTATAGTATGAGTTTTTATGATCAGTTTTTTTTAATGCAAAATATAATATAATATAATAAAATAGGTGCTCCCACTATGTACAGATTTTTTTTTAAGAGGTTTAAAACTCAGGTATGAATGAAAGCAAAAGTATGGTATCTAAATCTTTGTATCGGATATTTTATAATAAGTGGTTTTCTCTCACAATTTTGAGGTAGCTTTGTACAAAAAATGTTGCCAATCATGGCTCTTCACAACTTCCTACCCTTTGTAGATTTCAATATTTGTCTCCTCACAATCCCTGTTCTGATGCTGTTGCACTAAGAATTTTCATCAAGTGATTCTTTTATTTTTTCTATGTACTAATTTACTTCAGAAACTGGATGATCATTTGCTACAATGATGGCCAGTACTGCAATATTTGACTACAGTAGTCCTACTAGTATTGCTCAAAAGTTGGGGTTGCATTATATACAAGCTATGTGAAAAAAAGTTTTTTACCAAAAATTCAGTGGTCGCATTATAAACATGATGTAATTTATACATGAGTATATATATATATATATATATATATATATATATTATAGGTTAAAATAATACCGTTTTTGACGTTAAGTTGAACGTCAAAAAACGACATTATTTTTTGCACCAACCTAATATATTATGTGTATTTTTTTTTCATTCATACATGTTTCATTAAATAATATAGACAAGTGTTGTCTATTTATTTTATGTAAATTCTTTTCATAACGTCTGATAAACTTAACAACATTATCATTAAATGAAGAAAGAAAATCACAATATTGATACATATTTTAATCCAATCTAAGCTTTCGTTGCTTGAAATAAGCCATTAAAAAGAAACAGATTATCATACAATATATTAAGCAATACACGGACAATATATTGTACTGTCTGTTTCTGTTTACATAATGATTTCAATCAACAGTAAACAGTCATGAGATAGGATTAAAATTTATGTGTCTTATATTGTGATTTTCTTTCTTTGTTTAATGATAATGTTATTGCTTAACAGATGATGAAAAGAATTTATATAAAATAAATAGACAACACTTGTCTATATTATTTGATGAAACATGTATGAATATATATATATATATATATATATATATATATATATATATATATATACAATAATAATAAGATAATATTACTAATAATAATATTACAAGTGTGAAAAGTATGTGAAATTAAGATGTAAGAAATACTAGTCAAAAACTGATCATAGATGACAATGCATCATTCGATAAAAATAAAATTGAAAATAATACTATTACTAATATGCCAAGTGTTATAAAAAGCAACTGAAACTAAAATGAAAGAAATACAAATCAGAAATAGATTGTAGATGACAGACTCATTGGCTTTAGTCAATTTCCCATGACTGTAATATAGCTTGCACTTTTTCTATAAATATTTTTATGGTAATTGTTCTCGGAACTTTCTGCAATGGTACAGAGACTTTATGAATTTAAGCATAGTACTAGATTGGTAGCAAGTGCACATCTCACACTTCTCACATGTGGAACTCTCTTCCTGCTTCTTGCTTTCCCAGTCAACTTTAATCCTCGGAAATTAAAATGCAATGTCAATCGCTATCTACTGTCTTCTTGATTCTTTTATTGTTTGTGCTCCTTAATAATGTTTCTCTTTTTCTTCTTCATTCACTCTCACTAAGCCTTTATGTTTTAGTGGCTTTATTGCCTTGATTGGGAAGAAATAATTAAAAAAAATAATTTTAATATTATGCTGTATCATCGTATTTCTCTTTGTTTGTTATCAGTGTCTTATTTATTCTTTTTGTTGCTTTTTTTTATTTGCACATTTTTGCAATCATGATCACATGGTGTTGTTCATAAGATCTATCTCTCTAGGGTTCAGATAGACTTTGTCATTTTAGTGTAGTGTTTTTTTTTCTTTTCTACTGAGTACAACACTTATTTCTCCTCCTGAAATCCTCCAGACAATATCTCTTGGGCACAAAGTTACCGATTTTCTCCTTGTGTTGATAATCACGCAGACAATAACCTCCAGGCCCATGTTACCAGATCTCTCTTTCTGTATTTGGTAACGTCAATTGTTTGTGTCAAGCTAGGGGCATAGGGAGAAAAACACTTTGATCGTGCATTTAAATGTCTACCACTGACTGATTTTACTTATATTCTTGATGATAAACTAAAAATTTCTGTGGCTTGTTTTCTGAACTAATGGTCTGATCATTACACAGAGCTATCTTTAAAGATGAGTCAGATTTTTTTATACTAAAGTTCACCTAATACAATGCTCGAGAGCCACTCAAGATAGAGTGTTACTGAATGAGGTGTGTGATATGAATGCAAGAGATTGATTGATTCATTTTCTATGGCTTATCAAGCCTTTGCAGGTTATTTAGAGCCAGAAAATATTTTTAAATTGTTAGAATTTTTTTTTCAAATAATAATAATTTAGTGATACAAGTCTTACTAATTGATCCATAGCTTGGGGAGAAGAGGTGAATTCATACCTTTCCCAATGGTATCTGTATGTAAATGGATATAACAAACCCAATGAGAATTGTAACTTGGTTCTCTGATTAACAATTCCAAGCCATTATCCATTGCACCACCCACACATCCAAGCTTACAGCACCTGGTATTCCCAATTGGTCACCCATCCAAGAACTCACCACACACAATGTTGCTTAACTTCGGTAATCATAAGGGAGCTGCTGTTTCGATGTGATTAGCCTTAAGCTTGAATGTAAGAGAAGGTGTTAGGAAGTGAAGATTATGAGGATAAAGAGGATAGATAATGATTGAACTTTGACTTGAAGAAGATTGTAGTATTTAGGGAGTCCTCTCTGCAGTGCTCTGTTTAACCAAGTGGCAGATTTAAAAAATAAAAGAAGCTGTCTGTGTGAAACTTCTTATGTAAAAATACAATTTCTCACTCATTTTTAGGAAATAAGTAGATAAATTCTTTTTCCTTTTAAGTCAGTTTAATAACCAGAGTTTCTTAGGAATCTTGTCTTCAGTTCATCTTTGAGTCAATTAATGACCAGTGTTTTCAGGAACCCTGTCTCCAGCCTCTTAATTACCAAAGAGAACATTTTGTTAATGATTTTAGGTAATCACAAAAGTAAAGTCCTTTGAAAAACTGATCACTCATCTAGGTTTTGGGTGGTCTCTTTTTCTGGAACACAAGTTGATGGATAGGGGTGGTGGGACCCTAGCTGGTGTCCATATAATGAGTAGTCAATCAGTGGGCAGTCAGTGAGCAGGGGAGCAGTCACTCAGGAATGGGCCAGTGAGCAGTGAGGAGTCAACAGTCATGGAGATCAGGCAGTGAATGTGAAGGTCATCTTTCTGTGGACAGAAGTTAGTAAGAAAGCAGTTCACCTTCTCAAAGTTGAAGGAAAACATTGCCTATTTTAGGCGAAATCATATTATTTACTACTTCCCAGTCAATGTATTGAAAAACATTTGTTGTTATTCACTGTTGGAGCCAAGGAGACAGACCTGTGAACATAGCTAGCTGGGTGCATAATCGCATACAACTGACCTTGGATATCATCACAGTTGGGTAGTGACGGATCTGCGAAACTCACTGTCACACACATGCATTTAGAATATAGAGGAAATGCAGAGGATTTGATACTGTGGTTGTAGCATGATGAGTCCTAGTTGTAAAGGTCTGAACTAGTGGAACTAAAGAGTGGATCTCATCTGAACACTTGCCATGGAAATAGCAATAGAAAATAGGGTTTCTGATTTTTTGTCTATGGGAAAGAGATTGAAGAATAAAAAGTCATCCTTGCCTGATAAGTAAATGGGGTAGAATCATCAGTTTATAACCTGATTAGGTAAATGAATGTAAAAACAAAAAAGGGATTTGGATGTAAGTAAAATGAATATTCAATTAACAGAATAAAATCTGAAAGGAAAATTTGTGATAGACTGACGGCTTTGTAGAAGGGGTAGAAAATTCAATGTACAATCAAATTTGCGAAGTGAAAGGAAACAGGTTTTAATATAACTAAAATGAATATTTAATTAACAGAATAAAATATGACAAGAAAAATTTGTTATAGACTGATGGCTTGACTGATGGGGTAAAAATTACCATAATCTGAGGTCTATGTTTTTATTGAAAATATCTTGTTTTTTTTTTTTAATTTAAGTTTTTTTAATTGCAACCCAAATGATCTCATGTAAATGGTAGGCAGAACATGGATTAAGAGAGATAGCAAAAAGACAAATCTTACAAAGGACAGTAAGTTGTGGAGAGCCACGATCGCCCACGTCCTGAAGGGACAGGACGCATAGAAGATGAAGTAACAGATTGTTGGCATGCTGGGGTATAAAGTCTTAACAAATGAACGGGACTATGAGAAGAAATTTACTGGTTGCAAATTTTCTGCAGACTGACACCCGACTCAGCTACCCTCGGTACACACGTCAGAATGGTGACAAACCTAACTGAGGGTGGAGTGGGATGGGAGGGCATTAGGGAGCAGCCTTCCTTGCAGAACTTATCAATCATATTGAAGGTGATGAACACAAAGGATGAGTGCAACTGTTGGGAGAAGAAGATGGCTACCAATGCTGATTAAAAATACTTCAACCGGAAAATGATGGGAAATAATTAATGCAATAAACATTACACCCACAAACGTTTGGTATATATATATCCTCTCTTTTTCATATCTATCTATATATAAATAGATAGATATTGTTTCCTTGTGTGTTGCTTATATATATATATATATATATATATATATATACACACACACATATAGGCATGAATATAAATCCATGGGAACATATGTATATTTGAGCAGCAACTTTTCTTTTAAATGTTTTGTTGAATATCACAGACAAGGAAAATTTGATATATATATATATATATATAGAGAGAGAGAGAGAGAGAGGCAGAGAGAGAGAGATATGAGAAAAAGGAAGGTAAGGATATCTATCTATCTATCTATCTATCTATCTATCTATCTATCTATCAAAGTCTGTTCATTATCTATCCATTAGTTTAGTATATATATATATATGTGTGTGTGTGTGTTTAAAGTGAAAGTGAGGATATATGTATGTTTATCCATATATGAGGAAAGCATGGTGAGGAAATATATCTGTCTGTCTTGATCTATTGTCTATCTATCTATCTATCTATCTATCTATCTATCTATCAGTTTAGT